TGGAAAAGCTCAGCAGGTCTCGCAGCATCTGTGAAGAAAAAATCAGAGTTAACGTTTCGGGTCACCGGACCTGAAACGTTAACTCTGATTTCTCTCCACAGATGCTGCCAGACCTGCTGAGCTTTTCCAGCAACTTCTGTTATTGTTTCTGATTTACAGCATCCGCAGTTCTTTCGGTTTTTATTGGTGAAGGGAAGCTGTTCGGTGCATCTATACAATACATTAATGTTCAGAGGGTGTTAGAAGATAATAATTTAGTCAAGAATTACAAATGCCACCATGAATAGAGAGGGCATTTTAAGCTACTTATGGGCATCAGTCTTAAGTAAATGACTAACTTGTTACCCAAATTATATCTTATAACTAAGATGACCTTTAATTCTCTTTATTTCTTGGCAACCTATTTAGAATCCTGAGATATGTGTTTTGATTTCAGTGTTGAATTCTGAAATGATTGAGACTGGACCACCTAGATCTATTGAGACAATTGAGGCTTAGCTTTGTGCTGACAGCCTGATGGTTGAATCCACATATCTGAATTGAATCTTCATCTGCACAAAGTAAAATTGACCGAGGCCATAATGCACCATTACGTTTTATGCCACATTCAGAAGTTTCCAACTGCTATTTTTCTGAAAATCCTGTGTCAGTAATACCACAATGGAGCAGGCAGACACACCCTTGTTTAAGGACATTGCTTGACAAAGGATTGAAACTCGGGAATGCTCTGAGAAAAGCACAAGAAAGAGCTTCACAAGAGTGATGTTGGTTTTTGGAAAAATGCTCAGTTTGAGCCCTTCCTTTCAGTCTCGCAATCTCCCTCTCACATTCTGCAGTATTCAGGTACAAATACTCAGCTATGTAACCAGCTGGGTCTGGATATAAAAACTGAAAGAACTGCGGATGCTGTGAATCAGGGACAAAAACTGAAGTTGCTGGAAAAGCTCAGCAAGTTCTGAGGAAGGGTCACTGGACCCAAAACGTTAACTGATTTTTCTTCACAGATGCTGCCAGGCCTGCCAAGCCTTTTCAGCAGCTTCTGTTTTTGGGTCTGGATACACATTGTTTGATGTTGTTAGACTATTGGATATCTATTATCATACCCAGGTTTGCTGAGATTATCCTTCTCTCAATCCATTATCTTCCAATCTATCTTCTAACCCCTGTATAAAATTAAATAACATGATTCCATTTTTGAAAGTCCAAGCTTTTTGGCAGGCAAAAGGGCTGCTTGAAATGAAGTATTGCCACGTTTAGAATAATTATTTTGATTTTGCATAGTTTTTACTTTCGCTGTCTTAACGGTTTGATCAATCAATGCAAGGTGGCACATCTGGAGGTTATTAAGATGGTGCAGTTCCGTTTCATAGCCTTATAATGAGTCTTGTGGCAACCCCATGTTAAACATGAAAGGAAATCACATGGAAATTGGTTCCTGCTGACTTTACATTGCAACTACCTGCTGGGACAGTAGCAACAATATTCTCAACAAGTAGGGAATTGCAACTGAGCTGGCCATTCGACACCAGAGCAGGAACCAAGACAGAGCCACATGTGTACACTGGAAACGGAGATGTAAGGCACTGCCTGGGTGTGTTTGCTGTGCTTATCTCCTCACTAATCAATGAATAGTTTGCTGGATGTCCATTCATTTTCAATCAGTAAGGAGACTTGTTAAGATACTGGTCAATGGTGCTTCATCTGAGTCAGCAGATCCTGAGTTCAATTCCAACTGGTTCTGGTTTGGGCAGACCCGGGACTTACCACCTATCAGTGGTGCCATGAGTCAGACACACCTTTGCGCAGAGAGTGGAAGATGATTAATTGTCTTATTTTTCTCAACCTTATTTGTCCCTTGGTTTCCTCCCCTCATATTTCTGCTTCATAATTATACCTTCTTCTGTGAATGCCTCCATTCCATTCCTACCCTGAACTGAAATGTGCCAAATCAAATCACCAAACGTGTTTTCCTTGACACGGCTGTAATCTTTGAACCTGTCACTCACACTATCCGTCTCTCTTTCACCATCCAGCTCAGTGGCCTTGTCCTCAACTGATCCCACAGAACATTTCCAGCAATGCCTTCCATTCCCAGCCCCCCACAATGTGCCTCCCTCTGTCTCACTGTTAACATGGGCAGCTGTGCCCCTAGCTGCCATCTACTCTGAAATCTGTTGCCTTACCTCTATCCCCTCACTGCCACAATGTGTGTGTATGAGTGTGTGTCTGTCTGTGTGTGTGAGTGTGTGTCTGTCTGTGTGTATGAGTGTGGGTGTGTCTGTGTGAGTGTGTGCAATATGTATGTATGTATGTGTGTGTGTATGCATATGAGTGTGTGTCTGTTTGTGTGCGCGTGTGTGTATATGTATGTGTGTGTATGCGTGTGTGTCTGTGAGTGTGTGCAAATGTATATGTGTGTATGTCTGTGTAACTGTATGCATATGTATGTATGTGTGTGTGTGTGTCTGTGTATGAGTGTGTGTCTGTCTGTGTGTATGAGTGTGTATGTGTCTGTGTCTGTGCGAGTATGTGCATATGTATGTGTGTGTCTGTGTATGAGTGTGTGTCTGTCCATGTGTGTGTGTGTGTGTGTGTGTGTGTGTGTGTGTGTCTGTGTGAGTATCAGTGTGGTGAGTGAGTGTGTATGTGAGTGTGTGTGTGTACGTGAGAGTGTGTGTGTGTGTGTGTGTGCATCATATGTGTGTGTGTGTTTGTGTGTGTGTGTATCAGAGTGGTGAGTGAGTGTGTGTGTGTGTTGTATGAATGTGTCTTTGTGTGTGTGTGAAAGTGAGTGTGTGTGAGTACGAGCATGTATGCGTGTGAGTGTGTGCAGTTGATTCATCCCAGGCACAAGCCGCAATTTAACAAAGTCTAGTGCCAGCCAAAGGGAACAAACATGAAACCCGGCCACAAGTCAGTCAAAGAAATTCAGAGGTCATGCCTTGCTGGATGTTTTAGAAAGAAGAAAGTGGTCTCATTCTGTTCTGCCTGCTAAACTCCACAGGCCAGGGGCAGAGCACAGTGCCACGTTCCTCAGGGTGCACCAGCCTTTGGGAACCTGACCAGCTAGCAAACCAGGAGGCAAGAAGAGAGAAGCAAGAGTTAGCTCTGGCAACTGACAAAGGCTCCTACCAGATGAAATGCTGAATGCAGTTTCTCTCTCTGCAGATGCTGAGCTTCTCCAGCATTCTGTAGGTTTGTTTCAGATTTCCAGCATCCGCAGTATTTTGCTGTTAATCGAAGGCCCGAATAGGTTTCTCCTGCTGGAGAACCTCAGGAAGTCTGGCAGCATGTGTTCTGAACAAGGGTCGCTGGGTATGACTGGTTAACTCAGTTTCCCCATCCACAGTTCGCTGCTGAGCTTCCCCATCACTTTCTGTTGTTGCTCTGGCCTCCTCCTGCTCCCATTTCCTTTGTGTTAGATTCCCATTCTCAGCCCAAACTGCTGTACTTAACTTCCATTTGAGCTTTTCGGGGGGTCAAATAGAAGGGCCTGAATGACAGAGAGAAGTACCTGGTGCCATCTCAATTCAGTGAAGTGACATTTGCTGCATTTCTAAGCGCTTGCAATTCTCAGAATGGATTTACTACAAAGCGACTCCATGCTATTGTGTTGCTGATGAGCTGACATGTTCCTAATTGTTTAATCTGCTTTATTTCAGTATCAGTTCTCAAACACGGAGCTCACCCATCAGATCAGGAGAAACCAGATTGCTCAGACATGTCAAGCAAACCGCGCCAGAAGTCGGAAACGGCGAGTGTTGACCTCTGATGACCTGAAACACTTGGTCGTAGACGAGGACCATGAGATGATCTACTGCTATGTGCCTAAGGTGGCCTGCACAAACTGGAAAAGGGTCATGATGGTCCTCACGGGAAGGGGCAAATATACCGACCCCATGGAAATCCCTGCAAACGAAGCCCATGTCTCGTCCAACCTGAAGACGCTCAACCAGTACAGCATCCCAGAGATTAACCACCGCTTGAAAAACTACCTGAAGTTCATGTTTGTGCGAGAGCCCTTCGAGCGCCTGGTGTCGGCGTACAGGAACAAGTTCACCCGAAGGTATAACACCTCCTTTCACAAACGGTACGGAACCAAGATCGTCCGAAGGCAGAGGAAGAATGCAACTCAGGAGGCCCTCGTCAAGGGCGACGACGTGAAGTTCGAGGAGTTTGTGGGCTACCTCATTGACCCATACACGCAGAAAGAGGAGCCCTTCAATGAGCATTGGGAGACCGTCTCCTCACTGTGCCATCCTTGCCACATCCACTACAACCTTATCGGGAAATACGAAACTCTACAGGAGGATGCAAGCTATATCCTGCACCTGGCAGGGGTGGGAGACTATATCACATTCCCCACCTATGCCAAATCCACCAGAACTACAGATGAAATGACAGCTCAGTTTTTCCAAAACATCAGCGCTGCCTTCCAGACTAAACTGTTCAATCTCTACAAATTAGATTTTGTAATGTTTAACTATTCCGTGCCAAGCTACCTGAAGTTGGCATAAGAATGCCAGCTGGTTTATTTAAGTCTTTATTTGTTATAATTGCATTTCTTTTTTGGTTTTATTTTGTAATTTTAGTGAAGATTTTCACCGGTTGCTGCGAGCAGCAAGGTTTGGAATTTATTTAAATAACTTTGTAAGAAAGAACGGCTCTCCTGGCAGGGTAATGGAACCATGGCTGGTTTAAAGATTCCCTTCCTGGCACACTCTTGTGTAGATCATTTGTGTCAGAGGCTTCGCATCTCCTATCAGGAAGTGGTTTGTAATCTGGAGATCCCCAATCTGGAGATCCAGGGTTCAGTCTGGAAACCCTCAATATCTCACTCTGAAAAACACAAGTGCCCTCTGATGTGACTGTGCTGTAGTAAGTTGCTAATGAGTTGAATGTGAATTGGAAAGGGATAGTTTGCATCATTGCGCCAGCAATGTTTTAGAACTTGCTGCGACTATTTCAGAACTTTAAACTGCAATTGTAGCTGAGCCTTCTTTTAAGAAAGCTTGCACAAGTCTTCTATCATTTGATGCCAAGCCCCTGGCTGATCTCACGACAGTCATTGGGTCACTTCTGTGTTAGCCCTTTCCACAAGAAAATCTCCACCAGCCGCCCAGGGCCAGTATTTTCTTCCAGTTTGACAGTTAAACATTAGGCAAGGTGATTTTTTTCCATTATGGCCATGGGCAGCCAAATCTCCCCTTCCAACAGCCAACACTCCTCAGTCCCCTCCACAGCTACACCAACGTCCCTGCTGGGGGAGGAGGGGGAGCACGAGGGCATTGTGGGAAAACAAAACAAGCCAAGCCACCATATTGTCTACACCAGTGCTCAAGTGTGTGTACAATATTACATTCAACTGCTAATTGAGAATCCATGAGTGGCAAATTGTGTTAAAATTAAAACGATCTTTCCTTCAAACTGTGAAAGCATGATTTACACACATACAGAAGAATTTTGGGGAAGAAGAGCAAAATGTTTCAGATGAGTCGTTACCTTTTATTCGTGAACTTACTCCATCGTCCCACAACTCTGCACTGCTAGCCCAGTGAACTGTGAAAATGGTGGCCAATAAAAGGTTTCAGATTAAAACTCTCAGGCACTGGATCTATTTAAAGAAACATATGTTAATGATGGTACTAATGTGTCTTTTAATTTGGGCAAGGCCTGTGTTTGTTGACTGTTCCCGATTTGACCTGGAGAATCTGGCAGTGTCTTGTGCTCCTGAGCCATTGCAGTCCATGTGGTGTATGGTGCTCTCTCAGAGCAGCTTCCCAAATTTTGACCCCCATGACGATGGAGGAATGGTTGCTATGTATCCAATGAGGACAACGTGTAACTTGGAGGTGCTGGTGTTTCCATGGATCTAGTGTGCACTGTCCTTAGGTGGTGGAGGTTGTAAAACTGGGGAGTTGTCCCAGTCCTCTTACCATTCAAAGCAGCAAACTGCACAGAAAATAGAGCTCAAAATTCAAATTGTAGTGTTTCTGTGAAAATCTCCTTTTGTTCCATCCAAAAATCAGCTGCCTCCCTCCATTCCATCCATCTCCCACAGAAGGGAGAATAACTCGTATAGTAATTGCAAACGCCGATGCATCAGTTATGCCTTGATGCAGCTTTTCTGCATTTTCTTACTGTTTCACACGATGAGGGCATTGTTGGCTTGGCCAGCATTCATTGTCCATTCAGTAAATAATTGGAACTTCCACCCTCCCACTGTGATTTCATCCTTGCAGTAAGGCATCGCTATGCTGCTCTTCTGAAGTCCTGCCAATCTTCTGATCTGAAGTTATCACTGGAGATAGGGAGAAACCCCAAGAAATCATCATCACACCCATAAAACATTTGCGCACCCCCTCCCCCATTTTAACTATATTAAATTTAGAACAATAGGGTTGTACAACATAATAGCAGTAGCAGAGTTGCAATGCAAGTGATTTGAACCTATTTTACTTTCTCATCCATCTGTAGTTCTGTCATTTCAAACTGTACAGCTCAGTATAAGTGTGTTGAGTAGTTTTTCATTAACTTGTCAACATTTTTAGGTGCTCAGTTAAGTATTTGTTCAAAGATTGCAGTTTTGTAAACTGGTAATTAAGTTAAGAATGGCACTAATAACTGATAAGTTATTTATGTTAGGAAAAGATTTTGAGGTGTGTCTATTACAATGAAAATGTTGAGTAATGATGGGTTAGCACTGGGATTCAGTCACTTGTTTTTACGGGAGCTTATTGTTTTGCAGGTGATTTTCTGGCTGGTCTTTTTGTATTCTTTCTGTCCACTTCCTTTCATTTCTCTTCAATCTTTTTCTTTCCTTCAATCTTGTCTTCCTGATTGCCAAGTTTTGGATATTCCTAGATGTGCCGTAATATATATCAATATATATACTGGGACTTTTGTTGGATTTATGCAGATATAATAAATACATAACTTCAGTGGGAACTAGAACAGTCATTGGATATTCCTGCTTAACAAAGAGAGTCTTCAGTGCTTTTAGGTAACTTAAAGAGTATTTGTGATATTACTGTTGTAATAGAGTGCTATTTTCTTACCTGCATGCACGAAACATAATGAGGACAAGTAACTTAACATTTTTCTTTAGCATTTCAATGATTTTACTCTTTGGACATGGTAGAAGGTTTGACTGGCATTTGTTCTTTGTATCTATCTATCTATCTATCTATCTATCTAATCAATCTATCTAATTGATCTATCTAATTCATTTATCTCTTTTTCTTCTTGTCAGTCCACCTATGTATCTCTTTATCTGCCTATCTATCCAATTTTCTATCTATGTCTCTGTCTGGCTCTCTCTGTCTTTATCTCTGCCATTCTATGAAGTTTACCTTTTATCTGGCCAGTCTGCCTATCCATCTTTCTCTTTATCTGTCTGTCCGTCTCTGCCTATTTTGTCTGGACGTTGTCTACTGGATCCAGCAGTTTGTTATTAACCGTTGTGACATGTCAGTTTAGTCATTCATGAAAGTTCCATCAAGACTGATTAATTATTTTTTCTAAATAACTTCCATTAAAATGTGGGATGAAAATAATTGCTTTGTGTATTTATTCTGAAGATTAAGCTGCTGAAAGAAATGAGTGAAAGCGGGGTCAACTGTGGCTCAGTGGTAATCCTCTCATCTGCAACGCAGAAGCTTGTGGATTCAAGACCCTCTCCCAAGACCTAAGCATATAATTCCAGCTGGTACGGTCTTATGGACACTCTAATGCAGGACTGAGGGAGTGTTGTGTGGTCAGAGATGCCATCTTTCAGATGCACTGCTAAACTCAGACAATCTCAGATAGATGTAAAAGTTTCCACAACATTATTTAAAAGAGGATCAGGGAATTTCTCAGGGGTGTCCTTGTCTATATTTATCTCTCAATTAACATCATGTAAAATTATTATCTGATCATTACTTCGCTGTGGTTTGAAGGAGTTTGCTGTGTACAAATTGACTGTTGCATTTCCTATCTTACAGTAAGACAACACCTCAGTCACTACCTCCTGAAGTGCTTTGGAATGCCCCAAAGTTTTTTTTTCCTTTATTCATTCACAAGATAAGGGCATCGCTGGCTAGGCAGCATTTATTGCCCATCCCTAGTTGCCCAGAGGGCAGTTCAGAGTCAACCACATTGCTGTGAGTCTGGAGTCACATGTCAACCAGACCAGGTAAGGATGGCAGGATTTGAACCCAGCTCCCCAGAACATTATCTGGGTCTCTGGATTACAGTCCAGTGATAATACCACTAGGCCATCGCCTCCCTGTAAAAGGTGCCATATAAATGCAAGCTCTTTTCTTCCTTAGTTTGCAAACACCGCAGAGACACTTTCATTAAAGTCCAGTCTAAGAGATGATGACACCCTAAGGTTACATTGCATTACTGCACAGGCAGTGAAGAAGTCAAAACACAAACATTTAAACAAACCCTCACAAACCGAATCAACAACAGAGAATGCTGGACATACTGAGTGGATTAGTCAGTTCCTGTGGAGAAAAGAGTCAAGTTAAAGCTTCGTCTGGAGATAAATATTTAGTGTGGAACAAAATGAACACAGAACAGTTAAGTAACACACTCATGACTGTAGGGACCAGCTTAACCTTTGATTGATAAGGGCTCAATATAACAACATCATCTTATTATGGAAATAAATATCAGGCCGAGTCTTGAGTCAGAGACTTGATAGAGTTGATTAATTGTTATCCTAACTGTGATCTCTTTAAATCTTTCACGCAATTTGAGTCAGCATTTATCGCCTGCCCCTAATTGCCCTGGAGAAAGCAGTGATGAGCTGCCTTCATGAACTGCTGCAGTCTATTTGGGAATAGGTACACTCATAATGTTGTGAAGGAGGGAATTCCCAGGATTTTGACCCAGTGACAGTGATGGAACGGTGATATCACTGCAAGTCAGGATGGTGTGTATCCTGAGGGATTGGGGGGGGTGGTAAATGCAGGTGGTGGTTGTTGTATATGATCATGGCTCTGAAGGGGTTAATGTCCACATGAGGAGTTTTATTCTAGCTTTGAGGGAGACTTGTACCTCTACCAGCTCCCTAAGATTCTTGTAATTATGCCTGACTAAAATTTGTCAATATCATGCAATAAGTCTTGGTGTTAATTAAGATCAGTGCCTCTTTTGTAGATATTCTACTGTGCTTTATCATCTACCAGTAATCTCTAGGACACAACCCCAGCCTATCCAATCTATACTCACTGCTCAGACCCTCCAACTCAGAAAACATCCTGCTAAATTTCCTCTACACTCTCTCCAGTGCAATCACATCCCTCCTATTATATGTGTGACCAGAACCGCACACAGTACTCTAGTTGTGGCCTAACCAGCATTTTATACAGTTTCAGCATAACCTACTTGCACTTAGATTCTGGACCTCAGCAAATAAAGCCAAGTGCCCAATTGGCTTATTTAATCACCTTGTCTACCTGTCATGCCACCTTTAAAGGTGCATGGATATGTTCGTCAAGCTCCCTCTGATCTTCAGTACTTACCA